AAAGGTGTTTGATTCATTACCATAAAATTGGATCATTTACTGTTTGGAAACAACTGGTGTCAGTAAAAATGTTAGAATGTTTATGGAAAAAACAATGAAGCAGTGGAAGACAGAACTGGTGGTTGGAAATGAAAAATATGGGCTTGTCATATCATCCTTATTATTTGTCATTACTTTGATCCATTTTCAGTGCTTTTAAAGAAAACAAATCTTGCTATCAAACAGCAAAAAATACTAACAAAATCTCATATTTGCTTTACATGGATGATCTGAAACTTTATTGAAAATCAGTCATTTAAATCCAATAATTGACACACACTGTAAGTATTTTTAGCCCGGATGTAGCAATGGAATTTGACCTAGAGAAATATGCTACGGCAACAATAAATCTGGGCAGAATCATGAACAGTATGGGAATTGAAATGCTGAATGGTCAAACCACCAAGAGCCATAAGGATGAAGACTACGATTATCTGAGCATTTTACAGTTGGATAACATTAACCATGAAAAAATTAAAAATGTAAACAGTACATCCAAAAGAATGAGAAAATTCTTCAAGACAAAATCGAATGGGTGAAACACCATGAAAGCCATCAATATCTGGACTATACCAGTGACATGATATATTGCTTGAATTATTAATATTAATTATTATTGAAATTTAAAAAGTGACCATTCACTATAACACCCCAATAGTTGAAATTGATAAATTATATCTGACCTGAAGAAATGGAGGTACTTCAAGTCAAACTGCTAAAGTAGAAAATCATGCATTGCCTGATTATGTAAAAGCCAATCAAGAACAAGCATTAATACAAATTAAAAATGAGAGCTTACTGAATATACAGAAAACAATACATAAACTTCAAAATAATATAATCAAAATCATGAACAGAATGCTGGCAAGTAAAAGCATTATATATGATCAATTTCTGTAAAAGATTGAAGGGAAAATGAATAAAGATAAAAATCTAGCAATGGATTACAACTGGAACATTAAGAAATATTTTTGGCTGCTGAAGAGCAAGCTATTTGAACTAATGCAATCAAGGCCAAAATTGAATCACATGATTCAAAATGCACATTGTGCAAAGAAGCAGAAGAAAAAGTAAGATCACATACTCATCGCATGCAAGAAGATTGCACAAATTGACTATAAACAATGATAAAACCCAGTCACAAAAATGATTAACTGGAATATCTTTAAAATTATCATGTGCCAATAATGAAAAATTGATGGGAAGTTAGAGTTGAAAATGAGCAGGTTACAATATTGTGGGATTTCCAAATTCAAATAGAAAAAGTCTTGGTGCATAACACACAAAGTTTAACTTTGAAAAGAAGAAAGTGTGGTTAATTGATGTGGCAACACTAGGAAATAGTGTAATAGAAATCAAAGAATTTGAGAAGATCACAAAGTATCAAGTTCTGAAAATTGAAATTTGAAAGATTTATGACATAAACTGGGCATGGTGGTCCCAGCAGTTATTGGATAAAATGTGTTGGACGGCACTTAGAAAATCTGCACATGGTCAAAATTTCCATATGTCAGTACAAAAGGCCACATGGCTTGGATCCACACATACACTATGCCAATGCACTCAAACTCAAGGCCCACGGGCCAAATCCGGCCCACAATGTGGTTGGATCTGCCCTGCGGGTTTGTCCTAGAAAATATAAGGGGCCGGCCTGAGTGGCTTCAGCCTGGTATACCCAGCGTGAAGAGGAAACATGCCAGCATTTGGGGAGTGGCATCAAGCTGGCCACGCCCACCCAGTCAGCCATGCCCGTCGAGCTCCCCAAAGCCAACCACAGCTCTGATGCAACCGTCCATAAATTGAGTTTGACACCCCTGCATAACAACATCCCAGAACTCATTCATTCATATAGTACAATAAACAGCAACAAAAGCTTAACTATCATCATGACATATTTCTTGAAGCTCTGGAACTCAAGAATGTTTATATCCAAATCAATACGAATTGTATTGTATTGTAATAGCAAAATCCAAATCATATTTAATGAAAAGAAAGATTGTTGAAGTCAAGGATGCATGGCTAGGATCTGAGGTTTAAGTATAGAAGGAAGAAAACTTATGAAAGCATGGCAAATTATCTGCCCTTATCTTCCAGAAAAAGTTCAATATAAGCAAGGGAATTCTAATGAAAATTTAAAATGGAAAGAAAGGAATGGCATCATTCAAGAACATTTCTGACATTACAAATCTTTAAAAGTAGCTTGGATCTATGCAAAGTCATATGAAGAAATATAGTTTGTCTAATATATAAGAGTAATTTTTATCTCTTAAAGATAAAGTGGGAAGGCCAAGGACATGAACAAAAACCCTTTCATCATTATTCCTTTAATATATTTGTAAGTTCTCTTTTAGCTATAACAGAGGTCGAGTTAATTAAAATGCATTTCAGGCCATCTAACATGAAATAAAACATAAAGCAGTAAAAGTCTCTGTTATATTAAACACATAAAACATAATGAGACCAGGAGTAGCAGGAGAAGTCCATTTGGAGATGTCCTGTGCCAAATTAGATGCATTTGTCGACTGCTTCTGTAAGTTCTAGTGCAACTAAACCAATTTTGCTGAAATATAACTCATGTCAGACGCAACTAGCATGGCCATAAAAGATACGGGTTTGGGGAACAGTCGTTGAAAAACGTTTTGAGGAGTAGCAGTTCAGAGACAGCTGAAGAGAAACGAGAGATGAGAAATATTTTCCACATCTCTGCACTAACATGTGGCAGCTGCAGCTGCCTAGAAGCAGCCCAGCACACTAGTCACGTGAAGTGGATACATCTCATCACTGTATTTCATCTCTGTATCTCTACCTTATAAATATAGGTATCTGCAACAGTAAAAGTTAACGCTAGCGAGAGGAGAAAATTTAGCAGTTTAGGTGAAGAATTTCAGCAAAGCATGCCAGATTTTGTACATTTCCAATAACACCCAACAAAACTTTCTGAAAAAGCGGATATAACACAAAAAGAAGAATGCATTTACAAATGAGTATGAATGGAGAAGTAATCTTAAATGGCATATTATGCAGTGAACAAACGCTGACATTTGCAATCCCCTCAAGCGAGGAACACCAACATTTAGAGAATATTGATCTATCATGTGGAAGTTTATGCTGCACATTGTAATTTTACTGTCAGTTCTCTAAGCAATATTTTCTAATAGCTTTTTAAAAGAACGTACTGTATAAATCACTATTTTATGCATTATGGTTCTTGAACAACACAATATGGCATGCCATCTGTGTTGCACCAACAGGACAAATGTAACTGACCATCCATATATATTTATTTCACCATTATTAGGGGCTGATCATGCATGTTGCAGGAAGAAACAATGACCGGAATAGATTTTAAAAAATGGCACGCTAATATGCTTTTGGACTACCGGTATATATATATATATACTGCAGGGACTTAGGGTATGGCTCAATGAATGCTGTTACTGTTAAAAAACAATTTGCTTCTTGCTAGGTCTTTCTGAAAGATAAATGTCTTGATTTCCCTAAGGAAATGTTATTCATAAATACCAAGGTAAGGTTTTGAAAACTTCCACCAATTTCCTTTTGAAGCAACAAAACTTAATGAGTTGAGTAAATGGTAAATCTACTGAAGGACAGCACCAATATACATAACAAAAATTCAAACAGTTGAAGGGAAATTAAAAAAATCAAAAGTAACATCTTTCCAACAATATGGTACAACCTTTCCCCCCTCGAGGTAGACACGCTTACATTGCAGCTAAGTGGAAAAAGAAATCTAACATTTTTTTTCCGATAATTATATTTTTGATCTGCACAGCTATTCCTTCTTTCCAAAATACCTTATCATATAGAAATAAGTAAATCCTATTGATTTCAAACAATGAAGGCTGCCAGGTGTAGATACCCAGAATTTTACCATCAGCATCTTTCTGAAATTGCTCTTGTAATTTTTCCAGATGGACTATTTTTCCCCTTTTTCATTAGTATAATCTTCCTTGTTTTAACACAGGGATGAGAGGGTCATTAAACGTTGAAGTAAGTGCTGCCTCTTATTTCCAGCATTATTTCACATGCACACAAAAGTTCCTGCAAATATTTCTTTAAGGCATATAGCAGAACCTGGTTCAGAAACACATGGCTTTCCACACATGAGCTAGGCTCAGCAGAGTTCAGGTCTTCCGAGAGAATAATTCATACATCTGGATGCTCAGAGGTTAAAGAAAAAGAGTAGCTCAGATAAAAGGCATGGTTTTTACCCTGTGACCGCCTATAAATTAAGCATTTTTAGCTCCATCGCTTGAAAGATAAGACACTTAACAGGTCAAAGTGCTATTTATAAGACCAGGAAAAAGCTGGCCATAAAACAAGAATTTCTACGTTAATCTAGGATTTGACCCCAGTGGCTTTCGTCGAGAAGAGGCAGTGAAATAAGAAATCCCACTTTGATCTAGGATTTAATCCCAGCGGGTTTCATTGGCCATAAACTGAATGTCAGCTGTGTCGAGGAATTGCCTGTGTCATGTTCCCAGGAAAATGAGCTCTCTGGAATCTGCCAGAGGCCGATAATGACATTGATGCTAATCTGAAAAAAGTACATGCAACATCCTGCACAGGCCGTTCAACTCGACCCACGCCTTAAGTCGGAAGTATTGGAATAAAGCTGCCTTACGCAATAAAACATAGCACGGAATTGGAAAGGCCTGTTTCTCTCCAGTCCCCCCCTCACCATCCTGATTAGCTTCAAAGGCAAGAGGAGAAGCCTTCTGGATTTAACAGGGACCCTTTAAGGTTACTTTACTTGCTACATAGAGATATTTTGCCAGCAGTGCATGCAAAACAGGATCTGGCAACCTCTCGCCTGTGGAAAAAAATGCACAAGGAAAGGTTTTACATAACACTGTGCCGAGATATATCGAAAGAGAGAGACAAATCCGTATGGGAACTAACCTTACAGGCATGACTCCAGCTTCCCGTGTTTGCTTTACCTGGCGATAGTATCAGTCCACGCATTTGCGGTGTGCTTCATCCTAGGACCTGCCGGCTGTTTGTAGCAGACAGATGGCAATTTGGAGTTGTTGGGCGTTTGGGTTTTGGCTGGGATGTTTTGCCATTTACCTCATTTGGTCCTTTTGAAAGAAAACCAATTCAAAAGGTCCACTCCATCCCTGACTTCTCCGGGTGCTATACGTGTTTTATCCTCCAAAGAGTTGAGAGGGCGATTCGGCAAGCCAGTCTGAGAAAGCATTGAGAGGAGGAGAGAAGAAAAGGAGGGAAGAGGAGAAAGGGCTGAGAATCAACCGTGCAGGGTTTCCTTTTTCTTTTTTCTCTGCTTGGTGTTTTTTTTTTTTTAAAGAGAAATCTGCTCACCCTGCACACACAGCCTTGCAAGGGAAAACCAGGCCAGGTAAACTAAGGAAGGTGCTAGAAGGTGCTCCTTTCACAAGGAGCTTGCAGTGGTAGCCCGGCGATGCCCCCGATCCCTGCTTTCCTTCCTCCTGGGAAAATGAGCTCATTGTAAGCATCCGAACCCCAGCCCCTCAGCCATTGCAGTGACACTGCAGCGAGGCATCAGCCTCCAGGCACGTCATCGGAGGAGCTCACTTCGGTAGAAAGCCAGCCCTCCCTTTTGGGAGCAAAGCGCCACTTTGAAGGAGGGCATTGCGCACTGAGCAACAAGCTCTCGGCAACCACGCAGTTGTCGGCTGGGTGGTTTGCTTAGAAAAAGGCAGCGTTATTCTCCTCCAGCATCCTGGGCAGGCTCTGAGTTCCTGCTTTCACTCTGGGCGTTGCCAGGGCTACCAGGATCTCTCTTCCCCCCCCCTCCCCTCCCTCTTCCCTGCTGCCGAGCACAGACGCAGGATGGAGGGATGCTGTTACGGAGATGCTCCACGGCCCCTTTGGACTTTGCCTCAACCCAGGAGTGGCGACAACGTACGTTGGGGAGAAATCCTCAGGCGGAGCCCACCTGGGACAGGGTTATTAAAAGACTGAGCTGGTTCAATAAGAGCAAAAGGAAAGTCATTGCTAAGAAAGGGGAAAACAACCAATTGAGTCTTGCGGGGTCAGGCTAGAAACCAGGAAACTGTGAGTTCCCTCGTCCGAGCCTTCCCCGGACTCCAAGACTGGCCCATGTTCCCCCCCAACCTGACTCTGGGCCAGTTCCACAGGCGGCCGGCAGACGGCAACAAATTTTCTCTCCGAATGTTCCATTTTTCTTCTAGAATGTGCTGATCCAGCCTTTGCGAATCTTGGGAATCATTTCTTCTAGAAGATCTATTTCTGGAAAAAGATCACGTTACAATATAGAATTATGAATTCAGTACACATCTCATTCTTCCCACAGTACCCAGCCCTGCAGTCTGCGCTATGACACACTCCCTTTGCTAGATTTTTAACGCTGGCCTTGGCCCCCTTTCAGGATTAGTGGCCCACAAGTGACAAAGTCTTTTCTGGTTCTTCCAGGGAGCGACTGGAAATGGCAGAAGAGGATAATGGCATGGCACTCTCGTCTTTACGTTTATCCTCACAACGATGACCCTGTGACATTGGGTCGGTTTTGAAAATATTAATTAACCAGATGCCACTTAGTACATCTACACCACCCCAATCGGACCATTTCCTAGTTCAGCAAACTAAACAATGTGTCCTCTTTGAAAGGGGGATATACGTGTAGTAATAATATAATATAAATAATTATTATGGATAAACAGAGATGTGTACGGCTCATTCAACACCTGCTGTATTCCCCAGTTCCCCACCCTCAATGCTGTTTGCTGCCTACATGAATCCACTGAAATAACATATCAAGAGATTTGGTTTTTGATAACACTAATATATAGTTGGCACCCAATGTTACGGAGGTAAAACTGAAATTTTCTGGAGCTGTTGTCGGATGTTGCAATAGCAATAACACTTAGATTTATCTACTGCTTATCAACACTTTACAGCCCTCTGTAAGCGGTTTATAGAGTCAGCATATTGCCCCAAGCAATCTGGGTCCTCATTTCACCGCCCTCGGAAAGATGGAAGGCTGAGTCAACCTTGAGAATCGAACTGCTGGCAGCCAGCAGTCAGGAGAAACGGCCTGCAGTACTGAATTCTAACCATTGTGCAGTCAATGGACCAAAGGAGAGTGAATAAGTAAAACATTTCAAGCCAGATGGAAATAACGTTGTCAGTGGTGAAGTTCCTGTTCAGTCAATGTCCAGTTTAGTTTCCGTAGGTCACCTGCCTATTGAAGAAGCAGGATTGCAAACTTTAAATTGTTTTCATTAGGTTTGGTACCTTCCCATTTTGACTATTGCAATATATATAGGTCGGCATTTAGTGAACTAGAAATAGCAACTGGTCAAAATAATTTGCTCTCATTGGCTGACTCATTCACATTATCCAATAATATATTCATGTATTCATATGATGTCAATGATTTATTTGCGCATGGGACCCTTCTATTCCGGGCTCTTAGTTAAAAGTATTGGTTTTACTCAAGGAAGCTCAAAGTTTGGAAATCAAAGTACTTGAAAAAGTCCCTTTTCCTATTAACATCGACCTAATCTTTAAATTATTTCCAGAGGTGCTGTTGTGTGTCTTCCTAGCTAACCATTAATTGTAAAACAACTTCTCCAGAGAGGATCAATATCTCTATCTATCTATCTATCTATCTATCTATCTATCTATCTATCTATCTATCTATCTATCTATCTATCTATCTATCTATCTATCTAT